AGGACTAAAGATCAAGATTGTTAGAAGTAACAGAAAGGAATATAAAGTTGGTTTATTTGATCAAGGTTAAAATAGATACATTATCTCTGGTAACTCTTAATGGATGTTTGCTGACATCAGGATTGAAATGACAAGGCTTTATGGATTTGTTTATAGATAAGAGGATATGGCAAGAAGAGATCATTTGTTGTATTTACAAGAAGGTGATAAGTTACTAAAATTGTTTATACTTGTGATGAAGGTGGGAAGTTGCTTCTTTATGTTTCTTTTCTTTTTCTTTATTATACTCTTATTTTTTCTCTTTTTCTCTTTTTTCTCTCTCTTCTGCACCTTCTAGTTTTTCTTTTTATTCTTTTCTTTTTTCGGTTTGTATTCGTTTTTACTGTTGTAATTATAATCTCTAATAAAATTACTATAAAAAAACACAAGAAGGAAAATTATAGCTAAATCAGAGGATTGTTAATTTTGAGGTTGAAAATCACAGTTAAAAGAAAAAATACAGAGGTTGTAATTAGTGCAATCCATGATGAAGTAGAAATTCATCAAGGTACTGTATAAAGGTAATGCTTAGCTAGGTTACTTGAAATTCCAGGTGAAATTTCCCAAGGCTAACTGGTTATCTGAACAAGAACCTTTGCACATAGAAAATCAACATGCCTGAAAGAAGGTTAAGTTGAAACAAGCAGATGCTTCCACACTATTTGAATAAATGATGCAGGGAGGGAGGGAGGGAACATTTTACCTGAAGCTACTCAAGGCTATTTCTGGATACTTCAGAATGGATATAGATTAAATATCCATATATCAGGGCAGTTCCCCTGAAACCACTCTTAACATTACAATAAATCAATGTAATGTTTTGTGAAGTCACTCACTCCTTGCTATTAAATAAGATCAGACTTCTGATCAAGCCTCTCTAGAGCTTGGCCTGTCAGTAGTAATATCATTCTGCAGTTCTGAGATCTCTTGGCTAAGAATGAGGGAGAAGCAAGAACAATCACTTAGCTGCAAACTCATTACTGACAACAATATAACTGGGATAGCCAAACAACCCCTATATGTGGCTTCTAACTCACTGCAGTTAGAGAATTGTTTATTCTCTTCTAGCCAAAGAGATCGAACGGTGGGAAGGAATACATTACAGGGCTGTGGAAATCCTTTGAAAGAGGTGCTTTGCAATGTATGGGAGCATGTATGAAGTACCTTTTTTCAAATCCTTAAAGGACATGACTCTTCTTCCAGGGCCATACAGCTGCTGGAGCCTGGAAAGAGAGGCAGCTGTTCCAAGGATTCAAAAGGAACTGCTTCATAATGTTCTCATGCATTATGAAGCACCTCTTTCAAGGGATTTGCACGGTCCTAATATAAAATACTAGCCACAGGGACAATGCAAAACAAAACAAGAAAGTATCTATCACCCCTTGCCATAGAATGTGGTGCTGCCACTGCTTGTCATTTGAGATTTTTAGTCTTCCTCGAGAAAAGAAAATGAGTGGGAGGTGAAGACATACAGTATGACTATTTAGCACTTGGTATGTGATCCCTCACATATAAAATATTAAGCAATGTCAGGCAAATGGTGGGGTGAATGAACTTAAGGAAAGCCATTTGGGGTGGGGTTGACATGGCAAATGTAACATGTGCTCTGAGTATGCTCAGGCAGCAGACAGCGCTGTGGATGGCTGTTGCCAATAACCTGGACTGGTTGTGGTATGAAGTGGAACAGAAGAGAACAATTTGGCTGGGGACTGAAAGAGGAGTTGCAGGAAAGCAGGCCGATGGTCTGTAAAAGGCAGCCAAGGCCTGAATACACTCCTTAGGTAATGACATAAAGAATCTTAGGGAGAGAGGATCCAGAAGAGCAGTAACTTTCTCTTGAACTCAGCATGGTCAGACCATTTGTGGAGATAACAAGAATGAGGAAATGGTTCATTTAAAGCAACTCTCCAGTTATGGCTCTCCAGCTGTAGCTTTCAACTCCCGACAGCCTTCCTAATTATAAAAACATCTGGAAGGCTCTAGATTTTCCACCCCTGACATAAAGGTTCTGAACTGAAGCCTGGTAAAATGCCACCTACTTCCTTCTACTGCGGTTTTTCTCTCTCCTTGCTGGGTAAAGTTTGAAAACTTCAAAAGGGGCAATTAAGGTACTTGGTCATAAAAAAAACATTTATGTACGCAGCTCTACAACTCACAAACTTTGCACATCTTGTGAAATACTATATATATTTTCAGGAAATACCTCCATTCTCCACACAACCATCACCACAATCTGTTGCCTCTTCATCAGTGGAAAACTGAGTGGTCATCTCCTCACTCTTCAATGTGGGCTTCAACGTCTCCGCAGTGGACTTGACATCTGCAATTTAAAGAAAAGAAAAAAGAAAGGACAAATGAATGAATCATCTCATCAGATTCCAGTCAAAAGTCAGATAACAATCATGTGTGATAGGAAGGAGAACTTTAGCTTCATTCACTTCCTGTTGGGCTTCAGCAGGCCTGGGAAAATAATACCAAGCCTGTTTGCTATTGCACCCCCCACTCTTTGCGTGATAATCTGGCAGATTGAAAAACGCTTCAACAGAGAGGTCCAATCCTTAGGAAGCCAAATAACTATTATACATACTTACACACCTCCAGCCCCCATTCAGAATACATGATACAACCACATCTACTGAATCCATCAGCCAAGCCCCATGATACAACCACATCTACTGAATCCATCAACAGTGGCACACAGCTAAGAGATTTAAATCAGGTCTTCCTCAAACAACAACACTTACCCAATGAATATTTTAGAAAAAGATGAACAGGGCTATACTACTTCCCAGAAATAATTATTACAAGACAGACCCAGGAAATAAACACCTATGAACATACCATGCTACAATGACATAGGCCCAAGAATCAATGCCTACTGTAGTCCCAGGTACCAACTCTACTCTCACATCTTCTCTAAAAAACTAGTTTTGGACTTAATAATGTCACTCCCCCAAATCAAGAGAAGTTTGTTCGTCCTCCACTGTGGTATATGCCATAACTTATCAGCAGTGTACACCATTTGTACACCATGTCCCTTTACATAGGACAAACTAGCCAAGCTCCATACAACCGAAGACATGGATACAAATCTCAGAAATGGCAATATCCATAAAGCAATAAGAAAACAGTTCAATGTCTTACACCTCAAGAACCTTCAGAGACAGAATAAATGGCAAAACAATTGATAAAATCATTAGTAAATTCAACATCATTTTCACAGATTATGAATACACTAAAGCTTCTGACCAAATGACATGTTAACTACCCGTTAGTGCAAAAATGTTATGTCACACCTGCTGCTTTATGCAATTTTGCCTTCTTTCCTTTTCCATTTCACTCTGTTTGCCTTTTTTCTCTCTTTCAAAGCATAAACTTACTATTTATGGGCTTAAACTATTATTTTTCAAAATAATAAGCTCCTATGATAATGGATTAGTGGTCTTTGCAATGCCACAGGCCCCTTGGTTGTTTTTATTACAACAGATTGATGCGGCTGGAAACAAGACTATTTATTTTTTGTTTATAGCCATTATGTAAACCTGAGGTCCCCAACATGAGTCTCAATGTTCCTACAGGCTCCTCCTACGGCGCCCTCCTGGTTTTCTTCCCCACCTGTCTTTATACATACATAAATATAAAATATATAAAGCAAAGTGTCAACCTCCAGCTCACTCTTTCTTTCTGATGGGCCCTAAGCTCACTTCAAAAATAAAAATGATCAGCAGCTACATCTCAGTGTTTTATTTGAAATGTACCCACTGCAGGAGGTAAACCAGAAGGGATGGCAGGCAGGATTTTGAGGAATCACTGGTTTTTAACCAATTATGTCCCTCATAGATGACATTTTGTGAACAAGCAAGCCTCTTCCCACCAGCTGTTTGCAACAACCTTCAGCACAACCTCAAAATCTCAGGGATGCCAACTAACGTAAAAAGGACTGCTCAATATAAATAATTCTGTCTTGTATATTTAAGATCTCTCTCTCTCTCTGAGACTTCTTTCCTTACCATTTCCACCTTTTCATTTTCCTTCTCTCCTCTCCCAAACACTCTGTGTATATAAATCTTCCTATTTCAAGACCACAGATTGTTGATGTGGATTGTTTTCTATGGTAATAAAATCAGTTAATCTGTAGATGCTATAAAACTTTACTGGTTTAATGCTTCAAGGAATGTATCCAAACCCTCATAAAAGTCCCTTTTGCACTGAATATTTGTATTTTGTAAAGTTTTTATTCCAGAGACTCAGTGAGTGGTTCTGCTAAACTATTTCTTACACACAACTAGCATATGGAGCACAGGGATACACAGCAATCAAGAAAAGGCTGCTTATGTGGCCAAAAGGTGGATTAAGAGAATTCCTGGTGTACACTAAGGGGCTATATTCATGGATCCACACAACCAGCTTGCAGCTGCTCCTAATCTGCTGTCCAAGTCTGAAGGTTGAGACTAGTCTAGTTTGGTTCCCTTGTGTCCATGTGCCTGATGCTCTTGAGGATTGTCCGCGTTCCCTTCCAGGCCTTTGTGTTTCAGAACACCACTTTGCATGTGACGCAACATAAGGTAACAGGCTAACAAAGACCATTAGAACCACAGCTGCACATGATCCATGAGGCAATGGGGAAAGAGGGAAGCAATTATTCATAGACTAGTTGGGGGACCTTATATTGTCTCTATGAAGACACCATGCAGAGATGTTTGCAGATATGAAGCACTGGTCCCAAGCATAGGAAGTCTGTACTGGAAGTCAACTAGAATTAAAAGGAGCAGAAAGAAACTACCAGATGAATTTTAACCACATAGTGAATTCAGACTCCCAGCAACCAAATTATAAAAATTAACAGAAAGGTTTCCTTATGTGTAGGATAATACGGTAATGGACAAAAGGCAATTAAGTTTCCCACATGCCACAGATATCAACATGGCTCAAGTCCCTTATAGAGACTGATTTATGGATCCAGAGAAAATAAAGAACTCTTTCATCTTTGGACTTAGTGGTCAAGAATTTTTTTGTGCTTGTAGTCTTACTGGTTTTTGTTTGAACTGGCAAAGAGATTTACTGCAGCTCTAAGAAAACTGAGGTCAGGGACAATGCCTTTTCCTTTCATGAAAGGAGTAAGACACAGATGAAGTACACACATACTGTACATTCAAATGAGCCAGTGCACAAGAACAAGTCACGCAACACCACAAATGTGAAGCGGGGCAAGAAGATCTTCTAAAGTTCTATGGCTTTTTGTAGACAACCATATGATTATGTTTGGCTGTATAGCTCCATCATCACTCCAGGAAACTCCCTAAGAGCAGGTGTCAAGGTCAATTTAAGTCACAAATTATTAAGATCTCTAGTAATTTACATTATAGGCACTTGCCCCTTCAATTTAAAGAAAGAAAACAATGAGGTTGCATCTTGAGAAAGGTTCTGTGCAATATCATATGCAAAACTGTATGAGAGTACTGCTAATGTGAAGTTCACAGATATGATATACAAACAGAAATTTTAAATGAGGAATGTCAAACTCTGTTCAAGTAATAACTATGAAAAATCAATTTCATTGACAGGAGTGTTACTATTTGGGAGAAATTTGCTCAATTTGTTGAGACCAATCCAGCAAGGTTAGGGTGCTATGTGGGCATATTGGGGATAGGTACATAGAGTATATCTTTCTAGATGATGGATGGATGGCTAGATGGATGGATGGACAAACAGTCCCGTGTTATAGTACTCCCTTAAGAATAGAAGCTGGCTGGGTGATCTGGGGCCAGTCACTCTCTCAGCCCTAGACTGGGAAATCTAAAAACATCTATCTACCAACTGGACCAGCTTGATAGATTACAGTTCGTAACCTTTAGTGAAGAGGTCTTCATCATGCAGTGGATTTATTTAGGCTGACTACACACACACACACACACACACACAGCCTTTTCACATTCTGACACCTTGGTCAAATTGAGAGTTTGGGAGTAATGCTAGTTGGCAAAACTTCATCTGATTACTTCATGCCATGTCTAAATAGCCGTTCAGCATGTGACTCAGTACAAAATAATTCTCAGGCTTTCAACAAAATACTATGCAACCTCAGAGCTGTATGATTTATAAGTTCAAATTTGTTATACTGCCATAAATCTTCAAGGGTATTAACAGCAACTTACATGAAAAGGAATTGAACAAAATGGTTATTAAAAATATCTGGGGAAGTAAGAAATCCAAAGCTGAACATCATATGCATTAAACTCTTTTCCTTTGTACTCAGAGATTTACAGCAGGAACATAACTCTGAGAGAGAGATCTTTGAACATGAAAGCCCCATAGTGTGTCTGCATCCTCTGCTGGAGTAATTTAGAAGCTTTGCAGTGTCTTATATGGTCAATAGAGCTGTACAGATTTCATAGCAGAATAAAGCAAAATTACCACAACAGCAGGATAGGCAACATGTGTTAAGAAGGGAACATATGCAAAAGATAGCCTCCCTCCTGCCGGGCAGTGTATGTACTGCAAGAGGCATTTGTGGATCTTGTTACAAAGCTGTCAAGCAATGGAAACCAGATGTTTGCAAGTTCAAAGAAGAGAAGACCAGTCACGAGCTAATGTTCGTCAATCTTCAGAAGGGAAAAAATGTTGGCAGGCCCTTGAAACAAGCCAGCTGTTGATCTAATGTTTCAATTTTTCTTCCTACCAACCAGCTAGAATGGCAAACACTCCTGGCACAAGTTTCTATCAGAGAGACTTCAGGTCTTATTTCTGAAGGGTTTCAGAAACAGATCATTTAGAGTAAAGGACAAACAGGCAAGTCACACCAGAAGTGGTCATTTATTGCATATTTAAATCATTTAATAAGATGCAACAATGACTTCAACGAGAAGTAAGTACCACCACAACTCACAGTCCTTGAGAATTAGAAAAGTTCTAGAATCAAGTTGCAAATAAGCATGTTCTTCAAAGAAGCATTCAAAAGTTGGTTTACAAGCATTCAATTAATGGTTTTATGAAGTGAGGGCAACTGGCAGACAAACGTGAGGACCATACTGCTTCTGTTCAGGATGTAGCTTTGGTCTATCCTTCTTTCAAATGAAAAAAAAAAAAAAAGGCTTTATGTACTGTTTCTGACAGTAGATTGAAGGGCATTCAACTGAGTGCTTCCCAATAAAAGCATTTCTTATACATAGTGTTAACAGGAGTATTATTCAGCTATAGCCTTCTTCTGGACACCTAGCATTTACGTGAAAGACCACTTAATCAGGTGAGCCCCCAACTTGCAGCCTGAAATGATACTAGGCAAGACATATATTGGCCATCTTTAGTGAGTAGGAAACCATGGTCCAGTGTGGGAAAAAGACAGACATTTTTGTCAATCGTAAGTTTTTTACGATTCTTCTATCCCAAAAATGTACATGTGTATTTAATTTTTTTAATCCCACCTTTATTTTTTGTTGGCTATCCCAAGGTAGCATACATACCTAATGATGCCAGCTGCCATTTTCCCCACAATGACAACAACCCTGTAAGATGGTCTGGGCTGAGAAATTTTTATATTTCTGTTCCTAGGCAAAGACAAATGTACTAAGGGCAGGCAGCATGTCTAAGTTATGTATCCATATTGTATGCAAACTTTCCAAAACTCTCTTGAAGGATAGTTTCACCTGGTCTGAGCAATCTGTACTCATGTAAGGATACCCAAGTAGCATCATGCCTCTGACAGAACAGCATGGAAGGTCCCCACACGCAAAGGAAGAGGTTATAATTTTTAGATTTGTGGTTCAAACATTCCCTGACAAATAAATAAAACATTCAACTGTACTTCAACACTGACGGTAGCAAAGAGGGGCAGTTTATCAATTTGTACTTAAAAAGGTAGGTGTCTTATTATTTTCATATGTATCTGATGATGCATGCTGGAATATCATATAGTTTATTTACTGAAAGATAGTAACAACCCAGTGAAAGAACTGCTTCTTTGGAAGTTTGTTCAGCATGAGCCAATCTATACAAACTTGCTTTTTACAGATGTGGTTTCCAAACAGAAATCAAATCTTTTTTACCAGTGACATCTGGAAAGCAGACTGAATGCTAGCTGCATCTTAACAAAATAAAGGAGAAAGTATAATTTTCTAGCTCTAACAGTCAGCAGTAAAAGGATTTTGTTGGTAGTGGAAGCTCGTACTTCACTTTTTGTCATTTCAGCTAAGCCTGGAAGCTAGAGGGCTAAATCCAGCTGATGGTTTTCATACTTTATGATTGCACATCAAAAGGAAGAATAAGCAGTTTCTTTATAAAATTATGTGGGTAACATTTTGATTCCTTAGATTGACAGATAATTGGACTTTCTCTCAAAAATCCTTAAATATAAGGGTTTTACTTTGTGGTACTGAGATCTCAACCTGAGTCTTCCCTGTTTCTTGAAACGTTCCAGTTAATTATATGAAACTCCTCCCTAATGTATGTTGGGCATATGAATTAACATATAGGGTATCACAAAAGATAGCATCAAATCAGAGCAAGACAATAATTAATACACACATACAGAGTCATCAGTTTTGAGGATTACACAAGTGCAACTCAACTGCCCAGGATGGCTGCAGGCATTAGAACATCACCACCACATACCACTCTTCTTCTCACATACATTCCTTCCCCTTCCCCTTCCCCACCTTAAGCCCTGATAATACGTATCCTCGCTCACACACATTATTCTACATATGCACACATGCACCCTCTTGCTCCTCCTATTTCATCGGTAGAAATGGAAAAGCTTAGAATTTTCTTTGTGTGCTGAGATTCAGAATGCCTGCCCTCCCCCACTCAGATGATTAGATACTACAAATAAGAAAGTCCTGGCACCAATCAGTTGGAAGGAGGATATAAATGAGGAGGAAAACCTAAGAAAACTCATCTTCCCCTTTTAATCTGCACTTTGAATGCCATTTTGGAAAGAATTAATTTTTTGCTTGGGGAGGGTGCTACAGGGAGTGAAGCCTTCCTGTGCATCATTATACACACTGAATTTGTGTCCCAACAGCCTAATAAACTGTGAGGCTAGCCATAAGTTTATCAAGGGAAAGGGTACTGGGCATCCATAGTCAGCCATACACAAAATTTGCAGATTGTCCACAAAGGAGAGTAAACAAAGAACATGCAACAACTTATTGATCAATCTTAGCCTAATAAGCAGAGAATAAGCAACAAAAATAAAAAATGTCATCCAACGCATTTTCTTTTTCCTATTAAGGATCTTCACAGTCAGTAGTGCCATCATGAAAACATAAAGTTGAAAGAGAGGTTGACTATGATCAGAGAAATACATACAATAAACATTTCTACTCATTCTAAGCAGAGCAGGGATTATTCACCAAGAAGACTGGGGAAAGGAAAATATTTGTGGCACAATGTCATCAGTGGTCCCTGCACATTAAGTGACTGAACACAGGGATGGATTCCTTGGGCTTCCTGTCTAAGAGCGAATGTTTTGAATCCTCACATAGAAACTTCTATGCAAACATTCTCATGACCAACGAAGGAGTCATGGCATGAAACAGATTCATAGAAATCTTACCAGTCCAATCACACCCGAGGACTTCTAATCGCATCCCGATTCCTGCTGGAGACCACCTTTCTGGGTAAACCCTGATGAACTGTGCAGGAACAGGATCAAACCTTCTAACTTCAGGGGTGTCGTAGTGCATATTCCCTTCAAATATCTTAGAGAGAGAAACAGAGGTGAGAAGGAGCGTCCTTGGTTTATAGCCATAAAAAACAAACAGATGGTAAAAGAAGGATTCTGAAAGGGGCAGCAACTCTCTGGGAGACTGGTTACTTTTTCAAACTTACTTGAACTTTCTGTTCTACTGAGCAACAGCCCATTGTAATGAATTGGGACAACCTAAAGATGTGACTGGTTACAAAATGACCACTGGAAAGAGAGAACATAAGAATGCTGGAAAGAAAAAAATTAATAGTTTAAACTCCGTCTATTTGAAAAAGGAACGTTTTGTTAGCTTTCAAATAGGGATGTGCTGTTCTCTGCACCCAAATCCAAAAAGATGTTTCAGAGGGGGTATGGTTTAGGTGTCAACACCTCCTGAAAGAAACTGCATCTTTCCCTGAGCTCACAAGCCAGCTATGCAATCCCAGGAAAATATGTGTTTGAATTAAGAAATCCTCAGCAGGGATTTCTCAAACATCAACAAGATGCTTCAGAGTATGCATGGCCAACTGCAGAATTTCCTGTGATTGTGTGGCTACTGTGCGAGCCCAGGAGACACCAGCAGGGGTACATACCACTCCAGAGCACCTTTTCAGTTTGAATTCAAAGTGTAGCACATTCCTATTTTCAAATGATATAATAGCTTCTCATCAATTGCTGACATATTAGACTAAACCTCAGAAGCTTGCAATATTTAAGAATGCAAGCTGTCAGTGTCATCTTGCCAGCAGATCGCTTTTTACTGAGGTGCAGTGATATCAAAGCTGCTTTTTCAAGAATAAATGGCAATGCATTTATTGAATATTGCCCCTATCAGAGAAGGTAAAAGGAAAAAAAAACCCAACCAGGAGATACAAGTTATACCAAAGTTGGCTAGGATTATCAGAAAAAAAATTCTTAAATGTACAAGGGGTTGAACTATCTAGGGAAGTTGTATATTCTTATCCCCTGGAAATCAGAAAGATGAATTCTGCTGTCACAGGAGGCAAAGTGAACAATAAACATTTATGTAAAAAATATCATCTGCAAAATTACTGGTGAGCCTACAGTTACATCAGTCTACAGCAGAAATTTCCTTTATTTTGGATTTTAGGAAATGCAGTACAAAGTGGTTTTCCTCAGGTAGCTAAACTGATGAGTGGAGGCCCTTGGGGAATGTATAGTCCAATACCTCCACCTTCAGCCTGCCTATACGAGCCCAGGTGTTACAGTGGTTAAGATGTTGGACTAGGCCTAGGGAGATAGACGTTCAAGTGCACCCGCAGCCTTGGAAGCTTTCTGGGTGACTTTGGGCCAGTCATTCTTTCTCAGCCCAACCTACTTCACAGAGTTGGTGTAGGAGGAAATTGGAGCGTGGAGTTCTACTACACTTGCCTTGAACTTCTGGAGGAAAGGCAGGATATAAATTAAATAAACAAGTTGACAGGCAAGATCTGGTCAAATCTTGGTTATATCACTTCTTACTACAGCAACATGCTCTACATGGGACTACCTGTGAAAAATGTCTGGAAGTTGTAAGTGGAGCAAAAAGTGACAATTAGACTGCTAACTAATACAAGATACAGGAATCATACGACCTCTGTACGGAAAGATCTGCACTGGTTGCGAATTGCTTATGAGCAATTCCAGGTGTTTCAAGGCTTGAGTGGCTTTGGGTCTGACTGGTTCACAGATGGCCTCTCCTGTTACGCATCTGTTATGATCTATAGGGTCAGCCCTTTGGAAAATGCCCCCACTGTCAGAGGCACATTCTTCTGCCCCATGGGAAAGTGCGCTCCTTTAGGAGTTGTATTCTATACTCACTCTCTCTGCATTCAAAAAATCTGTGAAGATGTGTCTCTTTTATCAGACTTTTAATTGTTGAATTCTAATTTTCTATATGTTGTTGTTTCTTAAGTTTTGTTAACCACTATGAGTAGAAAGATGAGGTAAGTCAAATAATAAATGCAAACAAATAAATGTGTTAGGAGTGGGGTTTAGCCTAATCTCTACGCTGTTTCAAACCCTTATGTGTGTAAATACTTCTAATGTAGCTTCAGGCTAGATGCATTCACATCATATTTAGATGGTTTGTTAAAATCCTAAACCCTCTGCAGATGTTCCGACTATACAGTTAAAGTGTGGTGAGAGTGAGAGTGGGCAGGCAATCCCCATTTTCCTAATTCTCAGCTCTTTTATGGATCTTCATATGTTGAACACTTAGATCTCCAAGTGGTGAGGGTAAGAGCTGAGAGATCATTCTGACGAACTTGCTTAAAGATTTATTTGCAATTGGGCATTCTGAAAATATGGAGGTCTTCTGAGCATGGGAAACTTGCAGCCCATGGACTTCTGAATATCAAACACAACAGGCTGGATCGCCACCCTTTACACCTTGAGGAACCATCATAAAAGGATCCCAAAGACCATTTCTGTGAGAGGAAAGGGCCAGGCCAAGTTAGGTAAGAGTGAAGAAGCAACCTGAACTGGAGAGAACTACAGAGAGAAGGGCAGCCAAAGTAGTTTCCTCACCACACTCAGTGCATTGAACTGATACCAGTTTTGAGGCCAGAGAATGAAGTTCAAGAGCTACAAATTGCATTCCATGACAGGGTTATATAGTAGCCAATCAGGCCTAACATCAGACCCAAATTGCCAACCAGAAGATAATTCATTTATTTACTCTATCCTCCCTATGTTCTGAGACATTAAGTTAAATTGTAAATGTTTCCAGAGAGCAAAAACCAATGCAAACCCCACTGAACTCATTAGAACTTATTTTTGTGCTAACATCAGTACTGTAACAAGCAAGTACTGCTTAAATAATAATTAAAAAATCAATTCACTTAAAATCCCCAAATTCCTTCTTTCTTGTTAATGAAAAAGCTTGTGCACTGAAATAACAATGTAAGGATTACAGTGCTGAGTTGCATGTTTTTCTGACACACATTGCTTGGAAAAAATACAGTGCTCCACTCTCATGCAAAAACTCTTCTATTAATTTCTGACATTTTAATATTTCTAGTCGCTCTTTAGTCCTTCTAAGTACATATGAGTTTTTTGCAGGCAGACAGAGAGAGTGCTAGCGTCCTAGGTCATCACATCTGGACAGCACAATTTGGATGGCATACTTTTAAGTCCCCTGCTTTGAGATATCAGAGTGCACATTCTGGGAGAATAACCTCATGAATGTATAGATTAACAAGCTGGCTACACCTGTATACATGCTCTGAAGGCCACTTATAAACACCTTGGTGTTCTTGACTTAATTTCTGTATACGGTGCAACAAAATCCATGAAAAGCCCCAACAAATCTCTGTCATCCTGTATTAACTCTAGTAGCATGCTATATTTAAACAAAACAGCTAAAGCATAGTTTTCTGATATCTACGGTAGATGACTATAGAAATAAAAACCAGCGAGAGAGAAACATGATACGGCTTTTTCAGCTTCGGTACAAGCTAAGACAGTTACCTTAAAATAAATTTGATCTGAAAAGTAATTGAGAGACAGGATATGCTGCTTCAGGTTCAAAACCAGGCTGTGCTGCTTCCTGACTCTCCCTCCCCTCTGTCTCCATCTCATTTCTTCCACTGCTAACCAGAGTTTGTGGCCAACTGGAAGTTTCATGCCTGACAGCAGGATACTGCTGCCAAGCAGAATGCAGTCCATCTGACAAACCACACAGCATGCTTTGGCATGAGATGTGCATCCGCTTAGCTAGATCTTGATCCCAGATATACTGACTCAAATCTGGTATAACTCTACTGACTTCTTGTATAAACACTGCTGACTTCTAACTTGATTGTTAATGGATCTTCTCCTCACCCGCCCCACACGTTTTTCCATCAAGTTCTAAAGGACACCTCTCTTTGATGCCATATGTGCTAATTCAAGGAATCAGCCAGCAGGAACTTAGATTTTCTGTCTGTCTATGATTTAGAACCTTGGGCCTCCCGAATTAAGGCTTTTACAGTGGTGCAAAAGTTCATCTCTGTTAAATCCTTAACAGGTAAGAATGTCATTGGAAAACTTGGAAAAATGAAGCAGAACCTTCAGTATGAACACCCCAAATATGGGCCCTAAAGCAGTCTATTTTTATCATGAATGATTTGTACCCTCACCTTCCTCTGCATCATGTGGAGAACAATACCCTACTTCTCACAGGGGAGATAAAACTGAGACAAGGCAGGATATACTGAACCAGGACTGTGCCAAACATTCTCTGCAGAAATGAGGGGGAAGAAGTCATCAAGACTAAGCCACCCTTTTGCTGAAACTGTATTGGTTCACTATAAAACAAGCACAACTGCCATCACTGCCAACTGGATACTACTTTGCTGTCTGTCTGGTTCTGTCTGCCCAGGCTACTAAGATACCTTAATTTCACATCGTACAATAGCATGATGGAATTATTGGTGGGACGTGGGGGAGTCTGGATATGGACGTAATCTCAACCCTACATTTTCCATTTTCCCCAGTCCATCAGGAAACACTTGTGGGTCAGGAAAAAAAGGGAGACACCCCCCCCCCCCCCAAGATA